AATATACATAAAACTCATCATATACAGAATGGACCTAAAATGAAGGGGGAAGGAGAAAAATAATTGTCTATCTGTTAAGCAACATTTAAAAAAAATTACAATATTTTGAAATATATGGAACTGGGATAGCTACCTTACTCACACTGAGATGTTCACCCGTGGAGTAAGTGTTGGTAAATATTCTTGAGATGCAACATGGGCAACTCATCAAGATGTATAATATTTCAAAGGTCCACGGATCTAAAATACACATATAAGACTAAACAACCGCAAATTAAAGAGTCTCCTAAATTTTAGAAAAAAGGTATAATAAAAAATTTAAAAAGCGGGGGGGGGGGGGGGGGAGGGGACTAAATGGTGCAATATTTACCTGCCTAGGCCCAATCTGCAATGCTCAGTGCTCCAACAGAGAGCTCAGGTACAAAAAGAAAAGAATCAGCACTATGGTAGTCCACCCCCCTGACTATATGGAAAAGGTGGGGGTGGGGAAAATGTGATGCAATGGAAGATCGAGAAAAATCACAGAGACACAGAGGTAATCAGCAGCACCCAGGAGAGGAAAACTGCACCAGCCCACTTGCACGCCTCAATCCAGAAAGCAGCCAAGCCCATCAGAGACACAGCCAATCATTTTCTTCGTTCAAATCTCTTGGCACCAGATTACCCAACATGAAGATCCAGAAGGACTCCCTTTTCTTCAAAAGTCAAATTTGTTGTGAAGAGTGCCCAAGGACATGAAATGCTTCACAAACAGAGCTGGTGATTTTTGCTGCCTGATGCAGCTTCTGTGTTCAGATATTCTCACTTTAACCGGCCGCATGGTCATTCCTACATAGGGCAAATCGCACGGGCATTGTATACAATAAATGACCCCTCTAGAACTACAATTAACGAAAGAACTAATAGAGTACCTTCTGGTCATTAAAGAATTTTGGGATGCATTGGTTTTAAGGCAAAGGCCACAAAAAAGAACAATTGCCGCATGGAAAGTAACCTTTTGGACTGTCCCCAACACCTGCCAGGGTATCGTCTGAAGTATGTTCTTTAAGTGTACTGCTGACCAACATATCTTTAAGATGTTTAGCCCTCTTGAAAGTAAATAGAGGTTTTGATCTATATCCACGGATGTCAGACAAAAGGTACCAATGTTTTTCAATTATATTCCTCACGCCAGTGTAAGTGGCATCATAAGTTAACGGAATGATTTATGGAGAACTCGCTTTGAATTCTCCCACTGAGGAAGGCTTTTAGCCAAAATGCGTTTGGTATTGGTTTTTGTATATGGATATAATTTGTACCTTTCAACCTGTATTTATATGATTGGACATTTGTCTTTATATTAAGAATAGGTACTTATATGCAGAACCATAGGACTGTGGTTTTTAGATGATATTTTAGCACTACTGAATGTAGAATCAAATTATAGATGATATTTTGTACATTAGCACGACATGCGTAGGTATATTTTAGTTTCCGAGGGGGGGGGGTTGCCTCAACCTTTTGGTTACCTTTCTTGTGTAAGGTTGTGTTTTTCTCCCCTTTTTTGGCTGCACTATCTCTGTTCCCATCAAGATGGGTTGGGAAGGTTAGCAGTGCAAAACACAAGTGGCATGGTCCAAATGAGATTGGGCCCACAACTGTTGGAGGGGAAAAGCCACCCTCCCCTGCACAGAGCCAACACACACACCCCTTCTGATATTGCCTTCTCACACTCCTGTGTTTAAGACCTGATCTACACACGCTGCAAGAGGAGATGGCAGAACGGTCTGCATCACATTAGACTGCAGGTCAGGGAAGTCTTGCAAGTATCCTGCAAGTACCAGACTAGCTCAACAAGGCACAGCCTGGCCTAGAATCTGTTTGCTAGTTTTCTCCCAACTGGGCTGTTCAAACCATGGAAAAGTATTAAAAATGCAATCCCCGATGTGCAGTCAGTCAGGTTCTTATGGTACTGCTTTTAAAAAGCCAACTGCTGCCTTACCCAAAGGGTACTTATCACTAATAAAAAGCTGCTAATTGAGAACAAATGTAGAATTTCAGATAAACACCCACCCACAAACAAATGGAGACGGCTGCCTTGGCCCTTTCGTTGATGGTGGGTCCCCTCTAAAAGAGACCACAATCTTCGCCTCCGGCTTCTTTGCTTGTGGTCCCAGGCACCCGCAAAGCGACACCATCACACAGCCCACTCTGCCACCTCGGGAGTAGACCAGGTCAGGATCCACACAACTGATGGCCCTTCGCAGCGGCTGTCATGTGGATCCAGGCCTTGGCTTTGGAATCCAAGCCTCGGCATGCTGGTTCCATAAACTCGAGTTAAAAAAACACACACACAAATTCCTAAGAAGTGCTGTGGCGTAGACATGGGGCGGGGGGAGGAAGAAGAGATTCTGAAACAGGAATTGTTCCATTCCTCTGTTGAGTCCAAAGAAGGGAATGTTCACAGCTGGCAGTGAAAGGGAGAAAAGGGTCTCTTTGGCTGGAATTTCTCATGGCTATTCTAGGACACTGAAATACAAACAATGGGAATCCCACAAAGTGCACTTGAGCATTGAACCCTCTTTCACAACGTCAGATTTGTGGTCTGGGGTCTGCGGTACAGTAGATGCACTGGGGAAGTTAAGACAGACCCTGCGTTTGAGATTTACGGTGATGAGAGCGATTCTCTCCACCATCACCCACCTCCCCCAAAGAGCAGAATAATGCCCTTAACAGGGAATACTATACTACGGCACAAACAAGCCTACAGAAAAAAAGAAAAAGGAAAGGGAGGGAGAGACAGGAGTGCGGCACTCCATTTTACTTCCCAGACAAAAAGCGCCACCATATACACAACCCATTGATGTTACAGCTGCTACAGAGGACTGGGAAGCTTTTAAGACCAGCCCCTAAACCTGAATTCTGCTGCCCTGTTTTGTCTTTTTGAGGTTGGTGATCGTAGAGGACAACTTTGGCATCAGAGACTGGGGCATGCACTTCTGAAGCCACAGCTAAGAAGGCCCCCTCTGCTGCTCTGGAGTGGAGACGGGAGGGCAGGTCAGACTCTCCAGCCACAAGAGGCAGCAGCCAACAAGGGATCAGAGACAACGATGCGCAGACAGTCAGCTAGGTGCCGTACTGCTCAAGAGCTCCTCATGATAGACAGCGACGAGGACGTGGCCTGCGAATGTTCTAGACATACGTATCTGGGACAGAGGCCAAGAGAGAAGAGTGAGCCTCACGCTACAAGGCCAAACAAGTGGCACCTGCTAGAGAAGAGGGGCGTTAAAATCCTTTTCTGGCGTGCCAACATAGGCACACTCTGTTTTCCTAATGCCAAGATGGGGTAAGACGAAGTTTCGGGTGGGAGAACAATTTACGCTCTAGGAGTCAATGCTTGGAAAAGCTTTCTGAAATGGAAACAAACAGAACTGCGCGTGAAATCTGGATTGGCACCAAAAGAGGTATGAAGAGATCCTTTTGTTTGGAGGAGATACCTGCGCGCACACCTGGCACCAGGTACGGCTCTTCTCCCCATCCCCGGTAGGCGTCGTTCCACGTTTTTTTGAATGGAGATGGAGATTTTGCCCAGCTTTGCCTGTCCTTTGAAATACTCCCCGTCTCCCTGTAAGCGGGAGGAGAGGTTTGCGGTTCGCAATGGCTGGGATGCAGCAGTTTAGATTCTCTGCCCTTAGAGCTACAGCGGAAGATGTGCCTGTGTGTTAATGGGGCAGGCAGTTATGATCTTCACACCAGAAGGTGAAAGAGGAAAGATCCTGCACCACTCACGGGGGCATACATGGATGGCAACGTGTTAAGGGGGGAGGGGGGATACAGGACTGCTCTAGAGTTTGGCACATTTCAGTCTGGCTGGTCAAAATACGACGATAAAAAAAAGGTCAGCCCAAGATTTGGGAACTGGTACAGGGAAAAGGCATTTCTCGATCCCTCGCAAAGAGAGAAGCCACTTCCTAAAGCATTCATTACAGAGAAGGTGCACCCGTCTCAGACCGAGCTATATGTGTATTCAGTCCGGGGAGCCCAGGGTAAACAGATGTGATGCGGCCCTCTTGTTTCTGTTCTCAAACAGGGCCCGCTTTCAAATTCGGCACTCAGAGAAACACTGCGGCACTGGGTTCCTGTGATTCCATGTGATTTCAGAGCACTTTGGCGCACACAGTGCAAAAAAACCCCACAACACACAACCAAAGCTGCCCCCCCGTCCAACCACACGCACGCACCCAAGATGGTCGGCAAGACATATAGAACTGGCTAACTATTGCTCCCATCAGCAGCAACTCTGCAAACGCACACTGTGGCTCTGACAGCTTCACCCTGATTTGGGAAAGGCTTCTGGGGTTTTGGTTTTCAGTTCTGATGCCAAGTCCTTCCTGCCAACGGGAGAGTCAGGATCAAGGTCAAAGCAGAGCCAAGCGTGTGGGAGGAAAGGAACCAAACATCCAGGCCTTCTCCTCTCCTCCTTCAACCTCCACATATGGAGGAACTGTATCCAAGGGTAACTGGAACCACCACCTCTCAAGGGTCTGGGAGACGCCCATCGCCCAAGAGTTGTTCCGAGCGGCAGTCTGGCGGAAACTTGGCTGTGTAACTGTTCAGAATGCAATCCGGTGAAAACCAAGGCCTGCTCTTGCAAACCCAGCATGGCACAGGAGGCGGGTTCGGTAGCAGAGCGTTTCCAGGGGCTTTTTAGGCCGGGGGGGGGGGGGGGGGCGCTACTGGCACTATCCTTTTCTTTCTTTTTTTTAAAAAACAACAAAATAAAATACATATTAAAGTGTGCTTTCAGTACACGGAATGAAGTCAAATAAATACATTGATTGTTTTCTTTTGATGTCTAAATACATTTTTTTTATATCCTACACCCAAAGCTTTATACATTTGGTTTTTTTTGTTTTTCCTTTTCTCGTTTCTGAATTTAAAAAAAAGAAAAAGGATTTCTGTTAGCAAGAGGAGGAAGAGACAACGGCGACACCGTCTCTCCCCGATGAGCTAGAGCCGAGGCCTGGAAAGAAAGCACCCTACTCTCTCTCCGCTGTGCGGGAGCGCTCGGGGCCAGGCGGTCCGTAAGAAAGAGTTCACTTGCTACAGAGTCCGGGGCAGAGGACTTGCAGGCACCAGCGCAAGGCCGACACTCCTGTCCGATCTCCAGCCACTTCCGGAAAGCGTCACTAACTTTTATCTGAGGACAAAAGAAGCAGAGTAGAGCTGAACTACCCGGTGTGCGGTGGAGTTCGGAGACATCCCACCATCCTGCAGCCCGCTAACTAACGCTCCCTCTAAGCTGAGGAGTCTTGTGAGCAAAAATCCTGCTTTGTGAGTGACTGGCATTAAAGTTGTGAGCGAGCGATTGGGCTGCTGCATACATTAGTTTGCTCCGGAGCCATCCCTTCCTGAGCTGAGACAAGAATGTGTGAGCCGGAGGCTAAAAAACTGTGAGCTAGCTCACACTGACTCAACTTAGGGGGAACACTGCTGCTAACATGACGGGACATGTTCCCACCAAGCTGCAGTGACTGCCTAACGCTGCCCTTGTTCTAAGGCGCTGGCTGCCTGCCGCTGGATCCTGATATTACACCCCCACCATCTATTGGAAGTGTGCAAACAGGATCACTCTTCTTCTAGGGGAAGTGTTCTGATTGTTCTGTACTGAGGTGCATCGCTGGAAACAAAAAACCCCCAATGTTCTTCCCGTGCTTCCGCTCACTGCAAAGGCAGGGTGGGAGCAAAGTGAAGTGACTGAACAGGAGCCGTGAGCCTTTCGTTATTAACCAATCAATCGATAATTTATGACGGTCATGGTACCAGCAGAATAAAACATATATATGTAGTCCTTTGTAGCTAGTCAGCCATTGCAAGCTGGTGCATATTGACAAGGAAGTTGGGAAAGGCACGGCTCCTACGGAATTTTAAGCCTTCCGGGGTTTCCAGAATATCCACAAGCGTGGCTTTGCAGAGGGCATGATGCACACCAAGAGCGGGAAAGAGAGACACGAGTCTGATGCACAGAGCCTTGCAGATCTGTCTCTTTCTACTTCCACTGTGAAAGAAGTTCTACTCCAGTGGCACCTTTAAGGCCAACAAAGTTTTATTCAGTGTATGAGCTTTCGTGTACAAAAAGGTCATACACTGAATTAAATTTTGTTGCTGGTAAAGGTGCCGCTGGACTCAAACTTTGTTCTACTGCTTCAGACCAACCCGGCTGCCCTCCTGGAACTACTCCCGCTGTGTTAGACTCTGGTTTCCGATCAGCCTCTAGAATCTACACAGGGAAATCCCGCGCTGAGACTGCCCCAGGCTTAATCTTCTGTTTGTCTCCTTGGGATCAGCAGTCCGGTACGACGGATGCGTCAGGAAACACGACCGACTCACAGAGTTCCAGGCTGACGGAAGAAGATGGAAGCGAAGCATCTCACGTGCCACGCAATCCGCTTAAGGCTCAGGAAGGAACGCGCCGTCAGCAGAACGGAGCGATGATTTATGGTGCTTCGGAACCAGGGGCTCCTTCTGAAGACGCAGAAGCCAGAGTGAAAGCTCTGGACGCTTTTACTAGGAAGATTAACAAGCTGGCTTCTCCCGCGGTGCTCGGCGCCAAGGCCCGGCAATATTTTAGCATTGCATTACCATTCAGAAATGCGCTGCCGGGAGTCCAAAGGAAGGCATACCTGAGTGCTCATCTGCGGGGGCTGATCCAGCCAGCCTTTGCTGAAGAAGAGTGGCATAATTCTCCTCCACTTCCTGGGAGGAAAACAACAACAGTCAATCAGGCACAGTGTAGCGAAGGTCCACTTAGAGAGGGGTGCTTGACCCGAAACTGACTGGAACCGGGACTGGCTCGGCTCTGAAACAAGCTCGGTGCTCTCGCTTGAACCGTCACTAGGAACTCCCCCTCCCTGGCAGTCTTCAAGCAGCGGCTGGACAAACACTCGTCAGGGATGCTCTCGGCTGATCCTGCACGGAGCAGGGGGTTGGACTAGACGCCCTGGATGGCCCCTTCCAGCTCTGTGGGATTCTGTGATTCTAACTCTTGTGCCAAGGGAACACTTCTAATTCACTTTGGCTGCTACTAATCAAGAAGCTGATGCCTCTCTGAATACAGCCACCGCCTCGCAGGGATGGCGGCAAACACAGCTGCTGCAGCCCTTCTCAAGGACACAGACCTCGGAAGTAGGCCCAAAATCATTCTTCAGCCGCGGGAACATTTTCCCAAAAAAACCCCTTAACTTTAGCATCTGTTTGCAACTAGCCTGTCTTTCAAGTGTCTTCTTTTAAGCAACAACCTCTACAGTGAGGGAAAGACCACCCGCTTCCCAGCATCTTGCAGAGCAAGGCTGATCTGCCAGATGGAGAAGGGGCACGGGGAGGGGCTGTGGCTCAGTGGGAAAGCCTCTGCTTGGCATACGGAAGGTCCTTGTTTCAATCCAATCCCTGAGAACCAGGCAGTAGGTGACATGAAAGACCTCCACCTGACGCCCTGGAGAGCTGCTGCCAGTCTGAGTAGACAGCACTGACCTTGATGGACTGAGGGTCTGATTCAGTATCAGGCCGCTTCAGTGGGGAGGGGGGACACTCAAAACCTATGGAAAGGATCCACATCAACCGAATCCCTGGCCGTTTCTGAGCACACCTCTTCTGGGTTAGAGGGCAGAGATACCAGGGAAGCCAGTCACATTTATAATCCAACAATGTAGTTCTCACAGGGATGGCCCTAAAAGCTGACTAATGAACTGTCCTCTTTATTGGTGTGTGGGACAGCAGGAAGCCAGACTCAAATCTGATGAGGCCAAGGCCAGTCCCCTCCTCCGGGGATCATATTTTGCAGGGTCCACTCATCGTCTGTCTTACTCAGCATGGACGGAGGGTTGTCACCATAAGGAGAGGATATCTTTGATAGGCAGGTGCGGCTTAATAGCTATCTCTCAAAATAAATCACAAGCAACTGCTTTTCATGCCCGTCTTCTTAATTCTGCGGGTCGTGAAACAACAAGTCTTTGGTCCCCAGGGAAAGTAAGTTGGTGTTACTTAATCCCACAAATTTGGGATCCCATGCATCTCTTTCTTTAGTGGATGTGCTTTTCTCAGGTGGAAGGAGACTTCCCTTGATGCAACACATTTCTCTTCTGCTGCCACACCAGTTCTTGTCTTAAACTATGGGGCCTTCACAAAGGCTACTCAATCTAAGCCAGACTGAATCTCATAGAATCATAGAGCTGGAAGGGACCTCCAGGGTCATCTAGTCCAACTCCCTGCACAATGCAGGAAATTCACAAATACCTCCCCACACCCCCAGTGACCCCTGTTCCACACCCAGAAGATGACAAAAAACCTCCAGGATCTCCGGCCAAACTGGCCTGGAGAAAAACTGCTTCCTGGCTCCAAAGTGGCGATCAGCATTTCCCTGGGCGTGTAAGAAAGGGCCATAGGAACCAAGCACCGAGACAACCCTTCCTGCCCTCCCTCTTGTGATCTGCCTAAATTCACACAATCAGTATTCCTGTCAGATGGCCACCTAGCCTCTGTTTGAAAACCTCCAAAGGAGGAGAGCCCACCACCTCCCAAGGAAGCCTGTTCCACTGAGGAGCTACACTGTCAGGAAGTTCTTCCTAATGTTTAGCCGAAAACTCTTGATTTAATTTCAACTCGTCGGTTCTGGTCCAACCTTCTGGGGCAGCAGAAAACCACTCCGCACCATCCTTTGTATGACAGCCCTTCTGTTGCCCCCCCCCCCCCCCCCCCCAGCACTTACCTGACCAACTATAATACAACATTTGGTCTTAAACTCTTCCCTGACATCAATTCACATTCCCTCATCTGGGGGGCTCCTGGTTTACCAGGGTTACTTCAAGCTTTTGTGCTTATGATCTCCTTGCTTTTGGAAAACCAAGCTGAATATTTGTACGTTGCAACAGTCACAATTTAAAGGCATAAATATACTTCTAAAGACTATATCCTTCCTCTCCTGGCCTTGGAATTTATGGCCTACGAGCCACCACCAATTTCCGCTTTGAAGAGCTGCCATGGAAATCAGTCAGAAGGAAAACGCACATCTATTCTCCAGCACGCTGTGACAACTGTCCTCTTCAGCTCCCAGTTCCCCGCCTTTAACACAAATTTGTCACTTCGGTGAACAAGAATTACAGCTGAAAGGGAATCTGTAGCAGAACGTTAACGTACCTTTAAGCGTTCAAGGTCAGCCTCTATCTTCTGGATGTAACGCATGATCTGGGTACGCGACTCTACGGAGAAAGGAGGGCTTAGTGCACCTGAGCTGGGTTCCTCTGTGGCTTCCCAGTGGGAGGCCATGAATTCCTCCACAAACGGTGAGCTTCCTCTGTCTGACTGGGTGTCCGGCAGGGACGTTGGCTGCTGGGGGGCAGAGTCCATTGCACCACCGCCTGCAGTGGACCGCAGCGCCAGCGAGGACATCTCCTCGTCTGTGGAGCTCTCCTGTACTGTGCCGTATCCATCGAGGATCAAATAATTTCCTGTGAAGAAAACATCTTGACGCTCTACGGGTGCGGTCAGACGGCGTGCTGAGAGTGGGTTAAACTGCTCCGGTTCTGACCGGATTATATTTGATCTGGATAATCGCGATCACACTTACCTCCCTTATCCCGCCTCACCGCGCAGTCATGTAGCTCCCTGGCATCTACACTACTGACGTGCAGGAGCGTGTGTTGGTGGGTTTTTAAAATATTTTTCCTCAGTTTCCGCATGCGCCTAGGCGCCCCTCCGTAGAAAGGGGGGAACTATCATGGCGCATGCGCAGAACCACCAGGGCAAATCAATCCTACCCCTCCAACAAAAGACTTCTCTTTAAATCTTTGACCCGAAAACGGCCTCCGTGAGATCCTGAACTCATCTAAACACTACAACAAGTGACCGTTGTTTCTAAATGCGGTGGCGGAGCTCTGCCTATGCGCACACTGCCAGCGTATTAAAAAATGGCGGGCGAAAACCAGAAACCTCGGGCAACTTTCGAGCAGGGAGGGGGTTTAAACCAGAAGTGGCTTGACACCGGAGGAGCGATCACACAGGGGGGAAATGCGGCTTTAAACGGGAGAGCTGAGAAAACACCACTTTGGGACCTGGTAACAAAATACTCCGGGTTAAAGCGGTTTTGAGCTGGAAACCAACGGCTGGGGATGGGAGGCAGATGTTGACTGTGTGATCGTGCAGATAAAATCCGTTGCTTAACCGTCAAGACACCAGATCAAACGGCGTGTCTGACCGCACCCTACGACAGCCTGGGAGGCAGTGCGTCATGACCAAGCACATACCTATTTTTTTTCCTCACTGCGTGAACTTTAACAAAAGCTTCAGTGTTTAAAAGCTTGGCATTTGGAACTCCAGGTCTGCTGTGGCTTATAGATATAAGCAAAGTTCCCTCTAAGTTCCGCAGTGTTGTGAGCAAAAATTCTACCTTGTGAGCAAAAAAACCTAGTAGCATTAAAGTTGTGAGTCTACATTTGACTATCGCATAAATTATTTTTTTAGATTACTTCCATAACCTTGTAAAAATCTCAGAATGAATTCTTTGAAACTATTTAAACCGTATTTTAAGACTAATTTAAACATTATAAGAGAAAACAGAAACAAGTCACATTTCATTACAGAAACTGCTGGCCTCTATGGGGGTAGACCAGGCCTCCAGAGAACAGGTCTACTCACCCCAGTCCACAGTCACTGTCAGAACCCCGCCTAACCTAACGAACAGGAAGTTGCTTAGATGTTAATCAACCGTCCCAAACTACTTATTTATCCAAATATTTATATTCCACTTTTCCTGTGACTCAAGTCAGCTTACAAATCATACTGAAAAGCATAACGGGTGTGCAAAACAAATATATCTATTTTTTCCAGCTCCATTATAGCCTATGGGGACCATTATAGTCAACGGGCCCCACAGGCTATAATGGAGAATCAATTCGGGGATATCTGGGGTTCGGGAGGGGACTGTTTTTTGAGGTAGAGGCACCAAATTTGCAGCATAGCTGCTGGTGCCTTTCCCTAAAAAACAAACAACCCCCCCCCTCCAAGTTTCAAAAAGGTTGGACCAGGGGGTCCAATTCTATGGGCCCCAGAAGGAGGTGCCCCCATCCTCCACTGTTTCCAATGGAGTGAAAAATGCCTTAGTGTGAGCAGAAGCTTAAACCTCCCTGAGCTGGAGCTAAAATTCTGTGCGCCAGTGCCCCCTAGCACAGCTTAGAGAGAACTCTGGATATAAACACTTAATACATGCTCACAGGCACTCTGTTACTTCTGCCCATGTTCCAGCAGGGCTGGCACTCCAGCCAGGCCACCCAAGCAGCTTCTTGGGATTGCACAACAAAGACAAGACTGATGCACCATAGGAGCTCAGCTGACTCCCAGCGACTGGCTTTCCCTCCTGAGTCTGCGCTGCCAAGCTGGGTCCAAATGAAGCCTCTGTGTTGTTGTTGGACCCAGCTGGTGACACCAGAGGCCAAGGAGATGATCGGCATACTCTGCTTGGAGCTACAAAATACCATGGACTGGCCCAGAGTTTTCAGGGTTATCTCCTGGCATCCAGCCCTGGCTCAAACAAAAATTGGTATGAGCCATCACATCTTAGAACTTTGACGTTCTACCAGATCATGGAAATCTTTCATTGCAAAGCTACATCCCTCCGATCGCTCACCTGAGATCCGCAACTGCACTTCCTCTTCCTCCTTCCGTTCTGCCACTTCGCCTTCTGATTGGTTCTCGTCATTGTGGGCTTCACGAGCATCAAAAAAGTGCTCTCCGCCATCCTCAGCGCCCACCCCTTCCAGCTCCGTGACTGGGGTATCTGGGTTCGTGCTCAAGGGGTCCGTTAACTGACTGCTACTGGACGTGGTGTCCCCCAGCTGCAGGAATTCACCTGAAGTCCGGTGACCATAACAAGGTCTGCAGCTGCTTGTTCCCAAGCCAGAAGGTGTCCTACTCACCCCGGATGGGGATGTCTTGCTGTATGAGTGTCTCGATCCCCTCTGGACACCAGTTTCTCCTTGGCCTCCCTGGGAAACTGTCCTATGCCTGGGGAAATGCTGGTGGTCTTCAAGAGTCTCCTTTTCGGACAGGCCCAGCTGCTGCATCAGCAGTTGCTTCAATAAACCCACTGAAAAGAAACACAGAATTGTCACATGTCTTGTCATCCTGTCTCAGTATTCCCTGTTTGCCTCTTGTGCATATAAAGGATTTGATGTTAAGAGTTTGCCTGCTCTTGAGAAACAGCAAGATCTACAGGCGGCATTCACCAACGATGAAAGATACACATCAAAGCAGGAGATGGTAACCCCAAGACTGATTTTTTTTTGTTCCTAGAATATGTAGCCAGATGTTCCTTTCATTGCAAAGAATGAGATACACTTACTTTATTATACATATCTCTGTACTGCTTTTCTTTGCCTGAATGTGAACCCTAAGGGGGAAAGAGGAAGCTGCTGGCTTTCCCTCAAATCTTAAGCTTCTCTGACTTGGGGTAGCTTGGCGGATCAGTGCGGAGCCTTCCTGAGACACATCTGGGTACGCAGCTCCTGCCCAATTCTCATTTCCGTTTTTGTTTGCGATTAATTGGACAAAGTATCATGGTGGAGGAATGACATCCTCTTGTGGCCTTTCAAATTAGAAAAGAAGCTGGTTCCTAACCCTGGGATATGCATACACGCTACTAGACTGGCCATTTAGGAGATTACACAAACTTTTTAAAGAAGGCTAGTGGTTCGAAAGCAGGAAACTGCAAGTAGATAAATAGGTACCGCTTCGGTGGGAAGGTAACAGCGTTCCATGCGCCTTGGCGTCTAGTCATGCCGGCCACATGACCACGGAAATTTCTTCGGACAGCGCTGGCTCTTTGGCTTGGAAACAGAGATGAGTACCGCTCCCTAGAGTCGGATTTGACTGGCTTTCGAGCAAGGGAAACCTTTACCTTTAAACAATGTTCACATGAATTCTACTTTCACAGGTGTTGGTTCCACTGGCCCAATGTGTCTGGAACTTTTAATGAGTTGTTCTAAAAAGGGTGCTCGGATCCACCTTCTGTTTGTGCTTAAAGAGCTACTTCGCCTCAAATGGATTTTAGACAAAAAGCAAGCATGACTCAGAGACCAGCGCCACATTTATTTTATCTAGAAGGAAGCCGTCAACTAGGCCGTTTTGGGTAACATGAAAAGAGCAAGAGTCCAGGAGCACCTTCAAGATGAACAAAATGTGTGGCAGGGAATGAGCTTTTGTGAGTCACCGCTCACTTCTTCAGACTCTCTAATCTAGATACAGGCTGTCAGTATATGAAGACAGACTAACTACAGACAGACTAACATGGCTACCCAGCTTGGGTTAAAATAAATAATGATAAACACGATCTAAAGTAGCAAACAAAATCAGAAAACAATTGTGAACATCAGACCCCAAAGCATCAACAGTCAGACAACTTGTATATGCAATGAGCAATATCTATTTGAAATGCATCTTTTATACAGTAAACAATGTCTGTTTGAAATGAAAACAAGGTACAATATCATAAGAAAAATCATATTCAATGTCGTTTCTGGATTATTTTCAACGTTTCAAATGGGAATTCTTCCTCGGGAAATATCCTGCACAGTAACCTTCAAACCTCTTAAGATCATGTCTATTTTTCAGCAAGAGCAATAACCAGTCAGGTGCAGATTGCAAAACCTTCCCAGAGTGAATATCGCACAAATATCTTGTATGGATTCAAAAAAACACCTCTCACACCCAGTGTTCCCTCTAAGCTGAGTTAGTGTGAGCTAGCTCACAGTTTTTTAGCCTCTGGCTCACACATTTTTGTCTTCGCTCAGGAAGGATGGCTCCAGAGTAAACTAATTTATGCAGAAACCAAATTGCTGGCTCACAACTTCAATGCCCCAGGAGCTCACAAAGCAGGATTTTTGCTCACAAGACTCCACGGCTTAGCGGGAGCATTGCTCAGACCTCCAGGTCAGGGGTGGGGAAGGGGATGCCCGGCTGTGCTCCGTGGCTTCAGCATGGAAGGAAAAGAGATCTACCGCACTCTCCCTTCCGCTGATCCCCTTTCTGTGCTTCCAGGAGTGGGTGGCCGGGGATACCCCTCAGCCAGCCTCCCAGCCAATGCTCCCTCTACATTGCTCTGGAGCCATCCTTCCTGGCCTAAGAATGTGTGAGCTGGATGCCAAAAAACTGTAAGCTAGCTCACACTAACTCAGCTTAGAGGGAACACTGCTCCCAGCCCTTCTGAAGGACATTCACCGCTGCGTCCAGCTTCCTGCACAGCCTCTTCTTCCAGTGATACCCCGATGCTGCCCTGCTCATCCCCACTCAGCTTCCTGCACAGCCTCTTCTTCCAGTGACACCCCGATGCTGCCCACTCAGCTGAGGAGGAAGCGCTCCTTTAAATGATTCCACCGCTGCAGCAACTACCTGATCTCTTGCCCTGCCAACAGGAGAAGTCCCCATCTCTAGACCAGGAAGTGAGGTCATGCCTGTTTGGCTCAGGGGGGATAACGGGTGATCTCAGACACATACAAATTGCCCAAGCTAGTCCCTTCTGGGACCCTGTGCCCCAAGAATGCTCAGTGACTTACAGTTCCTTAGTGCATCCAACGCCCACCGTTCCTCTGAGATTTGAGAAGCGGGTTCCGAACTCGGGTGGTCGTAGTGCTCAGAGGGTTCTTTGATCAGCAGGTCTGCAGGGGGTTCTTTGCCGAACTGTCGGTCAGCCTGCAGGAGCTCCTCTTCTTCCAGCTTCTCCGACATGGCTGCTGACGGGGACTCGGCCTTCAGCATCAGTGGCGACTCCAGGCCCAGGTCCTTCTCTAACAAACAAACAAAAACCGCCAGGGCCAGAATCAACACGCAATCCAATGAGGCATTTAATGCAATTTTGGTTAAACTCGTACCTTAAAGCTCTCCGGTTTATTGCGACTATAAAAATTTTAATAGATAGCTAAACTCACACTTGGTTTCTAAGCCCCGAGGGGCCGGAAGACGCTAAGTCTTCAACGTGCTTTTTGTACAATTACTTGACAGAAATCTGGAGCGGAAATAAGAGGAAGGCTCCAGAGAGGTTTCTGGTGCCCCACGGGCACACGAGAGAGTCCCCTGAAAGGGCCTTCAAATCAATAAAAGGCTCTGATCGCATAAAAACAGCAGAAAATGATAAAAATGCAGTACAATGGTAAGCATCATTAGGAAAAAACCTGGGCTCTGCATGCTGCTGTCAAGAGTTGCTTGTTCTTCCTTCAGTTTTTGCTGGTCTTCCTCTTCACGGTCTTCTCTGCAAGATGAGAACAAACCAATCATACACTTTGACAGTATCTTCGTTCCCCTCCCCTTTTTAAAGGATCCTCCTGGGTTGGATGCGGCCTGTGCAGTTTTGCTCGGCTGAACGTCCCCAAAGAAAAAAACGACGACTTACTCGCAGGGCCCTGACTGTGGCAACGGAATCACCCTCCTGGCTCGTGCCACCTTCACCGTCCCTGCCATCCGCGCAATGAGGTCCTGCCACCTACAGGTAGGCAAGAAGAACATTCTCAGAATGACAGCCGGTAAAAAAAAAACAAAAACGGTAATCAAATTGAGTGTTGCCGCTGGCGGGAGGAGGCGCCATCGCAAGAACGTAAGAGAAACCATGTTGGATCAGGCCAACGGTCCGTCCAGTCCAATACTCTGCGTCACACAGTGGACAAACGGACATTGTCCTCCCCAAGACAGTTTCTGCGCTCCTCACGTTTATTTGATGGGGACAAGTTGAGTTTTATTCAAGGGGACAACAGGTTTCAGCTTTGTCAACACTCGGTCACATTTCATTTGCATCTGAGCCTCCTCAGCCTGAAGAGCTCTGTGAGCTTTTAGGACACACGTGCTTCCTTCTCCCAGGGCTGCTGTGCAGACTGGATTGCTTGACAAAGGGCTGTTTCAGTCAGGACACGGGAAACTGCTGTCCTACCATTTTAGGGAGGGGAAAACACACAGCCAAGATGTAAGGGGAACAGCGAAGTACCTCTGTAGGACAGCTAAGCAACGAAGACAGTTGCAAGGCCTGCCTGCCCCTCTCAAGCACGTACGTGTGCACACACGGGCAATGCTGTCGTTGATTGCAAGGGGGCTGCTGTATGGCTACCTTTCGTCAAATTATTTCACCCGCTTCCCCAGAAAAGAGACAGACTAAGCAGGAGGATATTCCAGCATTTAGACTGACAAAAACGACACCGCGATGAATCCCAGCAAGAGCACATCAATCGAGGGCGAGCCAGTGTCAGGATGCAGGAGAAAGTCTGTGCTGTTCCAGTTACTGACAAGATGTACACTGAGAAAAGTGAGCGACCAGAAACCAGCACCAAAGCTCTGACCAGGGAATGCCCAAAGGGAGCACTGGGGATGGGGGAGGAAGCAGGAGCCCATGAAAAGCACCCTCTTCTCACAGGCTGCAACATTCTAAACAGCAAACAGCACAGGCCTGCATGCCAATGAACAAACAGGGCTCTGTGAATAGCATGCCAATGAACAAACAGGGCTCTGTGCTGAACATCCGGATAGAATGTACAACCTTTCTCCTGCAGCGCACCAAGTAAAAGCAACCCTGTGGGCCAGCAAAGGGAGAAAAGAAGAAGAAGACTTGGTTTTATACCCCGCTCTTCACTACCTGAAGGAGTCTTGGAGCGGCTTACAATCGCCTTCCCTTCCTCTCCCCACAACAGGCACCTTGAGAGGTAGAACTGGGACTGGCTCAAGGTTACCCAGCTGGCTTCATGTGGAGGAGTGGGGAATCAAACCTGGTTCTCCAGATTTGAGTCTGATGCTCTTAACCACTACACCAACCACTACAAAAGCCTGTTTTTGTTAGGGCAGGTCGCCTTCCTTAAGAAGTTGGCTACATGGATGCCATCGAAGGAAGGAAAGTAGGTGTCTGAAGAACGCTTTCTGCTTGTGTCTCTAGGCAGTGTTAATAAAAACACAGAAAGCGACTGGGAACAGAAACTCTCCAAAACCCACAGCTCTAATTCCTGCACTTCAGAATTTAATAGTCCATTTGAGAAACACAGTAGCTGAACAAAAAGAAACCTTGTCAGGCTGCTGAAGTCTTTTGTTACCGGAGGAAGTCATCTTAATTGCATGTGAGACTTTCGCATTTCCCTTTCTGTGGTGAACTTTTCACAGTTATAATTAATACCCTGCGTCTGCAGGGCGTAAGAGAGCAGCAGTTCAACTGAGCATCTTCTTAACCAAAAGCCCTCACTAAGAGCTGCTCCCTTCTGTACTGTGAACATGAGCTGCCCACTAAAAGTGCTCTGATGCAGTCCAGCTCCCGATAAGCTACCTCAGGGAAAGCAGTGCAGGGTGAAAAACGCAACCCCTCCCAAGTTTCAGGCGACGATCATTTTAACGTGTGATGAGTGTCGCACGTGAAATGATGTCTGGAGACAGGGACCGTCACTTTTCCCTTTCCTGTGCATCCTAAATAGAACTATTAGCCTCTGTTGTCCAAAATCCCAAAGGGCTGTTGGCTGGAGGGAGAGTGGCTGTCACCACTGTTCCCTCTAAGCTGAGTTAGTGTGAGCTAGCTCAGTTTTTTTAGCCTCCGGCTCACACATCTCTGTCTTAGCTCAGGAAGGAGGGCTTCGGAGCAAGGTAATGCATACAGTAGCCAAAACGCTCGCTCACCACTTGAATGCCAGCAGCTCTCAAAGTAGAACTTTTGCTCACAAGACTCCACAACTTAGAGGGAGCATTGGCTGTCACATCTAAGGAACCATGGCCAGGACACTCTGAAGTCTGGCAGGGCAGAGGAAGCAACACAGCCTTGGGCCACCTGCTCTGAACGACTTGTGACTCTGTGTGTGTGCACGTTAAAAGTTGCCGCCGACTTGTGGCAGACCCGCAGGACTTTCAAGGCAAGAGACTAAACAGAGGTGGTTGGCCATGGCCGGCCTCTGCATAGAGACCCGGGAATTCCTTGGCGGTCTCCCCTCCAAGTACTGACCAGGGCCGACCCTGCTTAGCTTCCCAGATCAGATGAGACCTGGCTAGCCTGGGCCATCCAGGTCAGGGCCTGTGAACAGCCCCTTGGGATTGGCCCCAAACAGCCACCTGACCCCAAGGGAGGGGAGGAGCACCCCGATTTTCCTGCAGGAACTGAACCAAGGTGCTGGATTGGGCACCCTCATCGTTTCTGTTTGCGTCGCTCCTGACCGCTGCTGGAGGAGCAAGAAGGGGCCGAATCCCAGCCTTTATCCTCAAAAGGTACCGTAGATTTAGGCAAGGAAATGTGTGCAGCCGGCCTGACACCCTTACGTTTGGCACTCCAATGTGAACCGTACCTATCTTCAAGCATCACTCCACTTCTCCTACCCTCAAACAGAGAGCCAGTTTGGTGTAGTGGTTAAGTGCGCGGACTCTAATCTGGGAGAACTGGGTTTGATTCCCCACTCCTCCACTTGCACCTGCTGATGTGACCTTGGGTCAGTCACAAGCTCTGGCACAGCTGTCCTTGAGAAAGAGCAGTTTGTGTCAGAGTTCTCTCAGCCCCACCAACCTCACAGGGTGTCTGGTGTCTGTTGCGGGGAAGGGAAGGGAGTTTGTAAGCCGCTCTGAGACTCCTTTGGGTAGTGAAGGGCGGGGTATAAATCCAATCTCTCCTCTTCTTCTTCAAACCTTTTCTCTACAAATAAACTGGTCTTTTATCTGGAATAAAGACCGGTCCATTTCTTGAGCCTCCGGTCCCCACCCTTGGACTGCTCAGACCGCACTCCATTAGGGAAGAAAGGAAAGGCATGGCTTGGCCTGAGGCTGTAGAAGTCCCAGCTGAGCGGGGTGGGGGAAGCATGCCACTGCCTCTTTTTCAAAGCATCCATTGCTGGTGGCAATAAACGTCCTCCCTCCACCTCCTTTTCCACCCTGGGGTTTCCCCAACACCTTTTGTCCATGCAGGTGAGGTTCCCACAACGTGGGAGAGAATGTAGGGAGCATCATCTTAGCTGTTTGCCACAAAATCCATTATCCCGCGGTGGGTGACACTGTTCAGCCTCAGAGCTGCTTGGACATTCAAGGGGTTACTCGATGCTTGAGAGAACGGGAGACTTGTCTCACTACCCATGAATCTTCCCTCTCAGTGGTCCACAGGTTTTAGACTGCTCCAACCGAGGGACCACTGGAGAACAGCTTTTCTCAAAGTAGAGGGGCAGATGAGGATAAAGCAGAGCTATTACCTCTGCTGGCCAGCAGTTTGGAATTCGCGAGGACAGAAGGTATGGGAAACTATTAAACAAGCGAAGCTGACAGCCTTGTAAAGCAATCCCCATGAAGTTCCAAGCTGTTAGCAACGCCTGGTGCCAAATTGTACGGTTCAGAATGGCAACGGATTCAGCACAAGAAGATGATTTGGTATGTTTAGAGTTGGGGGTTGGGAATCTGCAAGGGAAGTATGTTCGGAGGTATAATTGAATGAGTTCTTCTAAGTGCGTGGTCGCACAACATGGTACTGTATTGTTTCAGAAATTTCCAATTAAAAAAAAGCACTAAACACCAATGCTAAAATCAATGAATTTAATTAAGGCTAACGGAGAACATTTAGCAGAGATAAGGAACAAGTATTCCTCAGATCAAAATCTAGCATCATCATCATCATCTTTTTTTTTAGTGTGACACGTCAAACTACCTCTGGAATCCTTGATCACTTAATGACCTTAATTACACATCATGTGGATCACCATTTATTGTCATGAGAGACCATTTATTGTCATGAGAGGACTGAGGTCTACTTCAAACAAAACAGCAAGAGTTGCCCTGACTCATTATCGATTCTCTAGCACTGAGGAATTTAGTACCCACATCTCTTTCCTCCTCCTCCTCCTCCTCTTCCTCCTCCTCCGATGCTGTAATTTTTAAGAAGAAGAAGATGAAGAAGAAGAAGAAGAAGAAGAAGAAGAAGAAGAAGAAGAAGAAGAAGAAGAAGAAGAGGAAGAGGAAGAAGAGGAGGAGGAGGAGGAGGAGACTGGATTTATACCCCGCCCTTCAATACCCAAAGGTGTCTCAGAGCGGCTCACAAACTCCTTTCCCTTCCCCTCCCCACAACAGACACCCTGTAAGGGAGGTGGGGCTGAGAGAGCTCTGACAGAAACTGCTCTTTCCAGAACAGCTCTTATCAGAGCTACGGCTTGCCCAAGGTCATCCAGCAGGTGTGAGTGGAGGAGTGGGGAACCAAACCCTGTTCTCCCAGATTAGAGTCCACACACTTAACCACTACACCAAACTGTCTCAAACTGGTTTAAAGACAGGGCATGGTCATAAAATATTCTTCCTTTTGCCTATTCTTATGGGCGGCCCTTTGCATGGAAAAGTTAGCAATTCTGGGCTCATCCCATTAACCTTGCATAATTACTTCAGGACACGCGACGCTGCGTAAGGCAAATGAACAAACACGGTCTGCCTGATCAGCAAAACTGTTCTCGAGAGGAGTTTATCCTGTGCAGTCTTCTGAATGCCTCAGGCAGAAGTCCTGGAAGATGCTGGCCTTTAAATTAGCTCCATCCTCTGAAGAGGGAACACGGAGATCGGTCAGATGCCCTGCCGGACCGTGCCTCAACGTTATGTGGTCTCACGGGTCCTCCCGCACTTCTTGTGCACTGACAAAACTACAGCTTGCTGCTTCAGCCAAAGGCTTCGTGGTGGTTTTCAGTTCTCCCTGGAGAGAATGGCGGCTCAGGCAAAAGCGTGGTGGTTTTAAGTTCTCCCTGGAGAGAATGGCGGCTCAGGCAAAAGGGCACACTCTTCAGGTTGGTGGCCACCAGGAAGTAGCAAGAGATCAAGCTCAGGTTTGCTCATTTGACAGCATTTCATGGTTGAGAGTTACATCTTGAACCAACACTATTACTGAAAGCAGACATGGGCCAGATATATTTTAGTGACATACAGATCTTGCCTGCTAAAGGGGCACAAAAACGGCCAACTGCCTGGTCTGTAATAATCAGACTCCTCACCCTCTGAAGCTTTAGAGGCCGGCCCTGTAGACTCAGGAGCCATAATCAGGAGGAGCTCTAGCTGTGGGGGTATCCAATGGAGCAGAGGTTCCCAAACTTATTTGGCCTCCCACCCCCCTTTTCAGAAAAAAAATTACTCAGCGCCCCCCTGGAAATCTACCTTCAGGAAGTAGAAAAAAAGATGCAGTGACGAATTTGCACGTGGTAAAGAAAGATGTTGTAAGTAAAGGATGTTGTTGGCCTGAAGCCAGAGGCCAGCAGCAACCACCACACAATAGAAATCTACCTTCAAGAAGTGGACAAAAAGATGCAGTGACGAATTTGCAAATGGTAAAGAAAGATGTTGTAAGTAAAAGATGTTGTTGGCCACTGTGTGGCGGTTGCCAGCAGCAACCACCACACAATAGATATCTACCTTCAAGAAGTGGACAAAAAGATGCAGTGATGAATTTGCACATGGTAAGGAAAGCTGTTGTAAGTAAAAGATGTTGTCGGCCTGAAGCCACAGGCCGGCAGCAACCACCACACAATAGCCCAGCAGCAACACCTGTCTTACAAGGCCCAGCAACAACACCTGTCTTACAAGGGTGCACATGCAATTTGCAAATGCATGGCTGTGATTGGCTGTGGGGACCCCTCTCCCCCTCCCCCTCTGATCCCAGGGAACACCAGGAGAAGGCAGGAAAAGGCTGCTTTAGATAGGTTCTGGACTCCTCTTTCTTTATGCTTCCACCGCCGACATATTTTTATTCAACGCCCCCCAATTGCACCCAAGGCTCCTATCGCCCACCTGGATCGTTCCAGCGCCCCCCAGGGGGCGGTACTGCCCACTTTGGGAACCAGTGCTATAGAGGCTCCATTGAGTGTGGAGAAGGGGGGAGAGCCTCAAGGGATGTTGCGAGCCGTTCCCCTTGGACAAGGAAGCGGCTTCATAGATAACCAAACACAAGTTTTCTCTCTCTCCTCCACAAGCCATCTACCGCGTGCACAACAGTTGAGGCAGCCGAGCCCACTACTTACACAGTTTTTTCAGAAACCGTCTGTGCCACGAGTTCATAAATCTGGGCTCCGTTTTCCGACATGGAGATGACAAAGAAAGCTTTGTTATCTGGGGAAAACACAGGGGGAGGTTAAATCCGGTATCGCCGTGTCCTGTTGCGCTTTACCTGGGATTCGGGGAAACAACGGACTTCAGCTTGGCCTGGCGGTGGCGCGAGGAACCCTGAGAAATAACTCTCCCAGAACGCTACACTCGTGCGGAAGAGGATTCCCATTTTCAGAGATTAAAAACGTTATATAAACAGAGCATGGCTGCCGCTCCCCAAATCTCAGTGGACTTCCTCAGCAAAGCGAGGGGGCTGTCCCTGCCTTGCCGCAAACGCCAGCTTCTCTGGGACAGGCAGAAGACTGGGTTGTCCTCCACTCAGATACATCTTAATTATATCATCAAAGGAGTAAGAAAGGCAAAAGGAGCTGCGGTGGCTCAAGTGGTTAAGATGCTGAACTGCAGGCTGTGGAAGGTCGGTAGTTCAGCAGTTCAAGACCCGAGTGTGCCGCATGATTGTCAGATTTGACTGCCCTGCTGAGTGAAGCTGGGAGGACGGCGGGGCTAGCTGAGCATTCAGAACTCCGCTGTCTGTCCTAACCACCCTGCTACTGAATCTTCTCAGAAGACGCATTCAAACTGGCACATCTGTGCTGATCCAAAGGCTACGCAATGACTATTCACTGGGTGCACCACATTGTGAATTCAAGCGGTGTAAGGTCTAGTGTGCAGACCGTGCGATGATGGCAAGAGTGCCTGAACTGTCATGAAGAATGTCACTGCCAAGACATACCACAGAGCTGTCCCTCCTGAAACGGATGGTGGAGGCGTGGCTCAGTTCAACCACAGAGCTGCAAGTGCAGGGAGGTTAATGCAGTGCACTGACAGTAAGGCAGTGGGCAGGCCAGGACTAGGGCTCAGGGGTAGAATCAAATGGGAGTCCAGTTAACACCTTAAAGGCCAACAATTTTTTTTTCCAGGGGATGAGCTTTCATGAGTTAAAGCTCACTTTCTTAGATATTTAATGACGTGAGCTTTGACTTACGAAAGCTTATCATGGAAAGCTGGAAAGTGCTGTCAATTAACAGTTGACTTATGGCGACCCCTTAGGGATTTCAAGGCAAGACACGAACACAGGTGGTTTGGTGGGGGGGGGGGCTGCTGTTGAACAGTAGCAAGCAGCCAGTCCTGGGTGACCTATACAAATTGTGTGGTATCAAGTTGCCTGCTGGTTGCTGCCACGCCTGGCCCTGATGAGTCATTCCTCAAAAGCCAAAACAGCCCTGGCCTGGAAAAGGCCCAGCCCTCTCACCCTGCCTTTTACTGACAGAAAACAAGGCTTCAAGGCTGGCAATAATGTTGTTGCCTAGCTACCTCCACAACAGCCACTGAGAGGCGTTTTGGTTCTTAAAGCTACAGGGACTGCTTCTATTAATTCAGGGGTTTTTAACCTCCAAATGTTTTAGGATTTCAGATTCTTCTGCAAACCTGGGGCCTTTTTCAGGTTTGTAGATAGATGTCTCTTGTCTTTTTATCACTCCAGTCTTCGGATCTAAGTATCCACAGATGGGGGCCACAGCGAAATCAGATATACTGATGTAATGATTAGAGCTTAACATGGGCCAGTGAATTTTGCATCTGATAACTGTTTGTATTCTTGATCCTGGAAATACTACAGTTATAGCAGGTGGTGGCAGGAGACGTTTTAGTACGCTGCTCACTCTGCAAGCAAGCCCTTCCTCCTGCCAGAGCAGGAGAAAACAGAAAATGAAGCCTACATAGCAGTGTTTTGGGCTTCATGGAATATTTGACAGCATTTGGCCATGATCTTGCCCCTAGTTACATTCAAGCCGTGGTACAACCTAGTTACATTCAAGCTGTGGTGCAAGATGTTGCTGGACCCTTGAAGGCCGCTTGACCACAGGCAAAGGAGACTAAACAGAAAGTGAAACAGAAAGTGAAACCCCTCTGGTGGCTCCCACTGGCACTCTCTCCAAAGTACTCTTTTCTGCCCAGCCTTGCCTCTGTTCCTGCTGCCACCCCCGTGCCTGCTTTCTAAAAGAAAGAGAAAACTATTGAGATATATGTCAGAGTGATAGAGGTAGCAAGCAGTTACTATAGATCAGTTTGATCTGTTTGTCAGACCTAGCTGTCATGCTAGTAATCATGTAATTACAGCCAGGTGTTTTCTAGCAGGTGTTGCTCTTTCTGGGCTTGTTAGAGCTAGTGATTACATCACCTCGTTAGAGATTGGCTGGGGTTTAGCATAATAGCTATCAGTTTACTAAGCTGGAGGGGACTCAGTTCTCATAGACTAAGGCACGACATGCTGTTCAATAGCCTGTAAATATCTCTGTATATATTCACCTTTATAACTATACAAACTCTCTGTGCACCTTCATAACTGGTCAGTCTCCCGCTTCTTATTTACAACACCCAATAAAAACGACCTTCCGGAAAGCTCGTCAGTGATCTCCTCCAGCACATGTGTTTCTTTATCCACCATGTAAAAAACCAAGCACGCACATATAGTATGGGATTGCACAATTTAAGTTCATCCGTATAAAAGAGCAAGAGTCCACAGCTCCTGAAAAACTAGCAAAAAACTGTGGCAAGGTATGAGCTTTCGTGAGTAATGCCACAAATTTTGTTAGTCTTTCAGGTGCTACTGGACTCTCGCTCTTTTCTACTGCTACAGACAGACGCGGCCACCCGTCTTGCTCTTAAACAAACCAGATACTTTATTTTCTCTGTAGCCAGCTGGAACCTTCAAGGACACTAACCTGTGGCCACCTGGCGAACCAACACGGTGTTTAGTTTGATGACAGGGCTGAACGTATGCTTGCTGTCGGCTGTGGAAGCCAGGATCTTGCTGTGACATCGCAGCACCAGTCTATCATCCTGCTTCTGCAACAGCACCAGGATGTCTTCTAAGAGGAGTGTGTAGAGATCTGCAGCAGGCAGTGAAGAAAAGAAAAAAAGAGATCAGGACTGGGTTGCAGCCCACTACCCACTGCACCTAGAAGGCTGCATCCTACGCCAAGACAGCAATCGGCAGCACACTCTCTCAGGAAGGCATACAAATCATTACATAAGAACATAAGAGACGCCAATGTTGGATCAGGCCAAAGGCCCATCCAGTCCAACACTCTGTCACACAGCTGAATCATTCACCTCTGAGCTGTAGACGGGACTAAATCATCTCATGAACCAGAGCTGGGTCCTTGCGTGGTCTTAATGACCTTCTGGCACATTTCAAAAAGCACAAAAATAGCTTAACTGGCTTCAAGAAAACGACATACATTATGGCTACTAGAACAACCTTTGAATCCAGTGGGACCTTTAAGATCAACACATTTTAATTCTGGGTATAAGCTTTCGTGTGCATGCATGCTTCTTCAGATACCAGTCTGCATGCACATGAAAGCTTATACTCAGAATTAAAACTCACTGGACTCAAATTTGGTTCAGCTGCTTCATACCAACACGGCTACCCACCTGACTATTATTGTTACAAGAAGAAGAAGAAGAAGAGGAAGAGATTGGATTTATACCCCGCCCTTCACTTGGAGTCTCAGAGCGGCTTACAATCTCCTTTCCCTTCCCCTCCCCACAACAGACACCCTGTGAGGTGGGTGGGGCTGAGAGAGGTATAAGCTTTCGTGTGCATGCATGCACGCTTCTTCGGATACCAGTCTGCATGCACCCATGAAAGCTTACACTCAGCATTAAACTCACTGGACTCAAATGTGGTTCAGCTGCTTCATACCAACACGGCGACCCACCTGACTATTATTGTTACAAGAAGGAAAACTTATCATGCAAACGCACCTTCTGATTTGTCAGTACCACTGCAAACCCCCGTCCGCAGCCCGTGTGTGCAACTCACCAATGGTCTTGTCGCGATTCACCTTCCAGGTCAGAGGCCCTTCATGGATCATCTTCTTCTTGGTCAGATCCAGATTCTGCCAACACGATACAGAGAAGAGAGATTTATTCACAGGAGACTGACCAGTCCAAACTCACGGGATCTATAGCAGAGTTGTTTCAGAGGATGGCGGTCAACATTCAAGGATTTGAGCCCAGTAGCACCTTAGAGACCAACCAGACCTTCAGGGTGTACGCTTCTGGGAATCAAAGCTCCCTTCATCAGATGAAGGGAACTCTGACGCACAAAAACCCATACCCTGAAAGTCTTGTTGGTTTCTGAGGTGCAGATGGACTCGAGTCTAGCTGTTGTACTGCAAACCAACAGGGCTCCCCTCTGAAATAGTCAACATTCATGTCTGCATAATCAGAAAATGGCAGCTAATCTGAGACCAGTTACCCCCAAGTCCTCTGGCACCTAACAATGGGGATGCAGGAAGGCTTCTCCTCAATACTTTGCTAAAATTTAGCATTCACTATTCCTAAGGCTGTAGCGCCTTTTTCATACAGCGACTGGGGGAAGAACTCCCAAAGTTTGTTCCCAGACTCAGAGAAAAGGATCAGGAGGGGAAACGGTATTCTTGAGGCCACCCTCCCGCCTGGCCACAGGTCACAGGTCTGGTATGTGTATTGCTGAATCACTGAACATCGTATTATCAACACGCTATGAAAAATGGTCACCTACAGTGACTTTCTATAGAGTATGATTATAAAAAGGCAAGCTTTGTGCCTGTGCTAAGATTAATTATTTTCTAGCTTAAAAATTAGTGGTTTCAACCTGCAGTCTCCTAGATTAGAGTTACTCCTACTTTGTTTACTTATCAACACTTTGGAAGTAGTCCTCACCAAGGCTCCCTCTAAGCCGTGGAGTCTCGTGAGCAAAAATTCTACTCTGTGGGCTACTGGCATTAACGTTGTGTGACTTTCTATAGAGTATGATTATAAAAACGCAAACTTTGTTCCTGTGCTAAGATTATTTTCTAGCTTTAAAATTAGTGGTTTCAATCTCTCTCCTAGATTAGAGTTACTCCTACTTTGTCTACTTATCAACACTTGGCACCCATTCTGAGTAGAAGAAAAAGAAGAGTTGGTTTTTACCCCCCCCCCTCTTTTCTCTACCTTAATGAATCTCAGAGCACCTTACAATTGCCTTCCCTTCCTCTCCCCATTAACAGGCACCTTGTGAGGCAGATTATGCAGAGAGAGTTCTGAGAGAACTGTGACTGGCCCAAGGTCACCCAGCTGGTTGCATGTGGAGGAGGAGTGGGGAATCAAAGCCGGTTCTCCAGATTAGAGACTGCTGCTCTTAACCACTACACCACACTGCCTCTCAGGTCGATTACTCTTTTGCTTCAATGTTGCCTTAAACTGGCATCTCTTTGCAGCTTCTCCCACACCTTGCCCACCTTTCTGCTGCTTTCAATTATAGTGTAAACATATTTGCCTAATGGACGTACGCTGGAACTCATAAGATGAGAGTTGATGCTGGAATACATGGATAGCCGTCATTAAGGTACCCTTGGACTCCTGTTTAATTCTGTTGCAACAGACCAACATGGTTACCTATGCTGTTTCACTGAAGATTGGATTTATACCCCGCCCTTCACTACCCAAAGGAGTCTCAGAGCGGCTTACAAACTCCTTTCCCTTCCCCTCCCCACAACAGGCACCCTAGAGAACTGCCCTTTCAAGAACAGCTCTTATCAGAACTACGGCTTGCCCAAGGTCATCCAGCCAGGTGCAAGTGGAGGAGTGGGGAAATCAAACCCGGTTCTCCCAGATTAGAGTCCGCGCACTTAACCACTACACCAAACTGGCTCTCAGGCCAAAGGTAAGACGCACTTTCCTTTGTGGCATTTGGTCAGATACAACTTAGTGATATTATTTTCGACACATAAACCAGCAGGTGAAATCTCAGCCCTTCTATCCCCTCAGTTACAGGGCATTACTGCATATTGCTCAAACTTTCACCTCTCTTCATGAGAGATTCCACAGTGCCCAGGCCATCCATGGCAAGAGGCAGTTATTTTTCACCCGGCCTGCCAGAGAACTGAACTGGCCTGTTATGCCAGTTGCCTCTGTGGCATGGGAAGCCTGTTAGGCCATAGTAAGGGAGGAGTACCAAAGTCTTCGCTTTCAAAATTCTGCGCTTAAAAAAAGCAGAGCCATCACTCCAAGAACTGTTTAGCTTAAACCTACAGCCCGGTTACAAACACACACACACACCCCACACAATGTCTGGTGGACATGCAGTGGCTTGTTTTATGATTGGCCACAAGAAGACCTACAAAAGCCCCTTTAGAGAAAATCTACTGAAAAAGATTCACAGACGGCATTTGACTCCTTTAAGGCTGGCTAAGATCTGTAAGACTGTAAGACTGAAACCAGAAGATGCTGGTTCAGTGGGGGAAATGAGACAGACTTCTTCCATATGTGGTGGACATGCACACTTGCCTCCAGCTATTGGAAACAAGTTGCCAAAGCTATATCAGCTGGGCTGAGAAAACACCCAAAATCAGCAAATACCATGCTACAGACGATTATAAAATATCTCAAATAAATTGTATATATTTTTGTTTTATATTTTTACAATTTATTCACCATATATTATTTATCATATATGCCTTAATACATAGAAAGAATCATATATCCAAACATCTAAGTATCGTCTCTTAATATATCACAAAAGATATTGCACAACCCCTTTATTAATATCACTCCTCCTTAATTATACAAAAGTGTTAAGAGGGAGGACTCCTTTAAGTCTATTTTGAATAAGTGCTCAGTCTTCCTCCAACAGAGGTCCAGATATCCTCCTGTTTCAGGGTCTTCCTCAGGGAGTTCAACAGATTATTTCCAAGCACAAGGTTGCCAAATACTAACATAAAAGGTAGCAAAAACAGAATAGGTTACAAGAGGAAGAAGAAGAAGAAGAAGACAAGGAGGCGGAGGAGGAGGAGGCGGAGGAGGAGGAGGAGGAGATTGGATTTATACCCCGCCCTTCACTACCCGAAGGTGTCTCAGAGCGACTTACAAACTCCTTTCCCTTCCCCTCTCCACAACAGACACCCTGTGAGGCAGGTGGGGCTGAGAGAGCTCTTGACAGAAACTGCTCTTTTTCAAGAACAGCTCTTATCAGAGCTACGGTTTGCCCAAGGCCATCCAGCCAGGTGCAAGTGGAGGAGTGGGGAATCAAACCTGGTTCTCCCAGATTAGAGTCCGCACACTTAGCCACCACACCAAAATGGCTCTGTTTGTATTAGCAGTCTCATAGTGGACAGACACCCCACAAGCCAGAGATGCTGCTGCTAAATTATCTACCTGATCTCCCTATTGACCTGTTCACGGTTGCCTTACACGTGACTACTGCTGCCAGGTTGGTCTTTGCCAGGCCATGGAAACAAAAAATACTTCTTACGTTACAAGGCTGGTTGTTGAAATACTGGCAACAGATTTATTTATTTAGACTGACTGACTGAGTTAATACCAAAGTTGCCCTGTACTGATAAAAGATGTTCATTGTTGTAAAGGGGAAAGGTATGGTTAAATTAAAAAAAAAAGATCTACAAAAGTTGGTGTTTTAAAAACAGCCTTCCGGTTAAAGCTCCCTGGGGTTCCTCGCACAGCTTCTTCACTCACCCTGAACTCATCCAGCATGGGGCCCTCCAGCTGCTTCAAGTAGGACAAATCCAGCCGGCGCTGGTAGTCTTCCAAATGCTGTGGATGAAGCACAACACCGCCAATCATGTTTTCCGAGGTCTACTGGCTGCCGTCAAGCGCCAGCTCTGTGAAGAATCCCTTCAGAAGCGAGGCTGCGCAGGATGCGCCTCGGCCCTTTCTTCTACTGCTGCTGGGCACCACGGCCCGTTCCCCCCCCCCCTTACCTGCTTGTTCTCGGCCTCTTTGACAGCCTGGTTCACGTAGTTGAGGATCTGCCGGCAATGATCCGCCGCTTTCTTCACTTTCTCCTTCTCCTCGGGTTGCTCTAAAACGAGAGATAGGTCGAGGTGGCACTCTCCAGACAGTGGCCCAAAGGCTGGCATATGGAAAGTGTTCCCTCTAAGCTGAATTAGTGTGAGCTAGCTCACAGTTTTTTAGCCTCTGGCTCACACACTTTTGTCTTAGGAAGGAGGGCTCCAGAGCAAACTCATTTATGCAGGAGTCAAATCACTCGCTCACAACTTGAATGCCAATAGCTCACAAAGCAGAATTTTTGCTCACAAGACTCCGCAGCTTAGAGGGAACACTGCATATGGGAGGGGGTCACAGTCCACTTGACTCAAAGGGCACTGGCCCACCAGGCTCTTTGTATCCCTCCCTCTCTTTAGGCAGGGGCCCTTCCCATGTTACAGTCTAAAGATAACAAAGGGCATTTCTTGCAAGTCACTCTGCCTGCGTCTCAACCTCTCGCTGGAGGCCAATGTGGGTCGCTTCAGACAAGATGCAGATGGCAGAGCTCCTTCTGGAATCCCACCAGTAAACACAAAAGTACCTCCCTTGCCCAGAGGAGGCTCATTATTGTTGTAAAGGGGGAAGGGCCCAACATTAACATCGATATCGACATTAAAACCACCATTAACAACCTGCCGCAACCCAGTGTCAGAGTCTTGCCAAAAACAGTCCCAACAACGTTCCTTAACTAGGATCAGGTTTATTGAGCAGTATAAGCAAGTCAATCTGGTACATGGTCAGGGTTAGAACTGGGGTTCCGGGTGGGAAAGGCACAGATATACAGAATTCGAACTGAATCCCCTGACGCAGGTAAGCCAATAAGCAAAGCAAGAAATTGCACCTAAAACTAACGAGTTGAGGTTCCCAGCAAAGCATGCAGAAGGCAACGCCAAGGTCATTCGCCTGAGCTGCACGATAAGACGGTGAGTGGGAATCGAAAGACAAAATACCAGAGGCATGAGGAAGAGCCTCATCTGCACTCCCCACCTGAATTGAGCCTCATCGCCCCCCCCACCTGCTATGCCAATGTTCCCTCTAAGCTGAGTTAGTGTGAGCTAGCGCATAGTTTTTTAGCCCCCTGCTCACACATTTTTGTCTTAGCTCAGGAAGGATGGCTCCAGAGCAAATTAATTTATGCAGTAGCCAAATCGCGCGCTCACAAGTTTAATGCCAGTAGCTCACAAAGGAGAATTTTTGCTCACAAGACTCCACAGCTTAGAGGGAACATTGATGGCAGCATAGCTGACACCCAGACTACGGCTTTTAGCTGACTGCATACTTGTGAATGCTGCTCATGTCCGCCATTGTAACAGTAGCCGTACTAGCACTTTATATCTTGTTATGTTTACGATTATAGTGTCATGCTTTTATGAATTTTCCAGTTTTGGTTGTTTTACACAGCTTTCGTAAGCCGACCTGAGACTGCTTTGCAGAGGGCGGGATAGAAGTCAAACAAATAAATAAATAAATATCAAATATGATGCAAATACAACAGCTAAGGGTTGCATACAGAGGATCTGTTCTGCCAATCGCAGCACCTGTGGCAGAAGAGTCCCTTGTGCCAGTGGAAGCCGCTCTGCAGTGAAGCAAAGCGCCACTGTCGGCCAGACAGGTCCATGGGACCCAAGCCTTTCTAGGAGCTCCAACTTGTTTTTCAGCTGAAAAAAACATTGTGGCCTGTCTAGAATAAACACTGGGTATGTTTATGTTCGGTTAACAAGGCTGCTTATCGGGACAAGCTGTGAAGAATAAGAATTCGTCAAGTTTTGAGAACTTAATAATGATTTTTAAAAAAAGTTTTGAGTACTCAGAGCTGTACTTTAAGCTAAAATTTAGCCAAGCTGTTGTTGTGCCCATGTATGTTTTTAGAGGCTGTGGAAAAACAAAAAGGCAGCAGCGGAGACAAAACTAAGCACATTCAAAATGTTTGATTGGGGGGGGGGAGATCTATTTTAACTAATCGGGATGCTTTCAGATTCCATTTAACAGGCTAATTTGCCACCCGGCCACAGAAAAAGCTCCATGGTACCTGAGTACTTGGCAATATTATCCAGCAGCAGCGGGTACTTGGTCAGCCGTTGCATCTCGGTGGGAATTATATCTTTCAGCTGCAGTCGACGACACAGTGGATTGCTCTCTGCATCCTAAATTTAAACAGCATAATAACTGCATTTGTCATTTTTATTAAGACCGTAATTACCTGAATGCATTCCATCTATTCATCATGTAAATGTCTCGGCAGTTCACATTTCTGGCAATTAAGTGCGAGTCAAGGAGCGCCAGCATTTATCAGACAGACAACACAGTTCTGTTGTAGTGGGCAATTACATAAAGGAAAGGCTCATCACAAGAACTGGCGGTGGCTTCCTTCCCTCATTACTTTGCGGGGATGCACTATCATCGGCAATCAATCTCAGTCACTGACTCAAGAGGAGACATCTTAGTCCCTTGCATACTGGAGAAAGGACACGATGATGCTTTCAAAATGCTGCCGGTTCTCAGACAGCGAGGGACCCTAGACAACGGCTGCAAGGGCTTTTCCTCTGTGAAGGAAGGATGGACCAAGTCCGGCTCCCTTCCTCTTTGCCTGGAGTAGTATGCCTTTTCTAGTTCACTAGTCACAGAAAACAGCTATAAGAGCTCTCCTCTCCAAGTTTTGTTTTAGAAACTCGGAAGACCAAGTACTGTCTGAGTGAGGTACTCTAGCCCACGATGAGGGTCTTTGACAGCTCACATGGCTGACTATGAACCACAGTGAGCGTGGGAGCCTATGTAAGTATTTATTTATTTAATTTGTACCCCGCACCTGGCTGGGGCCAGAGGAAGCGCCTGCCTGCCTCATCGGGACAAGCTGTGAAGAATAAGAATTCATCAAGTTTTGAGAACTTAATAATGATAAAAAAAACGTTTTGAGAACTTAGAGCTGTACTTTAAGCTAACATTTAGCCAAGCTGTTGTTGTGCCCGTGTATGTTTTTAGAGGCTCTAATTGGGGTGAAGGGGCCTGGGGAGGGAAGCCCATAAAAACCGCTAGGGGGCCAGGCCCTGTGGTAGCTACGGGCCTGTCAGGAATGCTTACACTGATTAATACATAAATAACAATTAAAATCCACATAAAGGTAAAGGTTCCCTTGCTCGAAAGCCAGTCGAGTCAGACTCTAGGGCTGCGGTGCTCATCTCCGTTTCAAAGCCGAAGAGCCAGCGCCGTCCGAAGACGTTTTCGTGGTCATGTGGCCGGCATGACTAAACACTAAGGCGCACGGAATGCTGTTACCTTCCCACCGAAGTGGTACCTATTTATCTACTTGCAATTTCTTGCTTTCGAACTGCTAGGTTGGCAGGAGCTGGAACTAGAGACGGGAGCTCACGC